GAATTCTGTAATTTAAGGAAATAATCAGACATTGGAATCTTAAAAAGAATATTTAAATATATCATAAATACATAAGTAAATAAATAAATAAATAAATAGATGGATAAGTAAATGTAATAATTAGCAAATAATTAAATAAGTAAGTAAATAAATAAGTAAGTAAGTAAATAAGTAAATAAATAAATACATAAGTAAATAAATAAGTAAGTAAATAAATAAGTATATAAATAAATACTTAAGTAAGTAAATAAGTAAATAAATACATACTTAAGTAAATAAATAATTAAATAAGTAAATAAATAAATACTTAAGTATATAAATAAATACTTAAGTAAATAAATAAGTAAGTAAATAAACAAGTAAATAAATATTTAAGTAAATAAATAAGTACAAAATTAAATAGATGAATACGTGAATAAATAAATGGGTGAATAAATAAATAAACAAGTAAATAAAAAAACAAATAGGTAAATAAATATATATTTAAAAATATTAACACACAGCCGAAAGAAAAAATAAAATGCACCCCCTGGCTCCGGTAACAACAATTTGCAAAGTCTACACAATGCCTAAATCTAATAATATAAAAATGAGCTGTTTATGGGCGATATCGAGGTCACATCCAAGCATCGAACAATAAGCCAGTGCAGTAATTACTGTTACAGGTGTATGACAGCATCTCTAGTCTCTTTCTGTGTGAGAGCTGGTCCCCTCACTCACCTGGATGATTCCCACCAGCGTAGTGAGCACGACGGCCACCTGGACCCTCCGAGCGTCCCGGGCCTCCACGTCCAGGACGGCAGACATGTTGGATCCGTTCACCGGCGGGAAGAAGAACATGGAGTCCGGAGCCTCCCTCACTACCACACCCCCGATCATCAGACTTATCACTGCAAAGGTACCTGCAGATCACACACACACACACACACACACACACACACACACACATACTGTCATATGGTATGCTGATAGGCAGTGGTGGAAGAAGTATTCAAATTGTAGTGGAGTAAAATTACACTATTTCCCTTTTAGATGTAGAAAGTAGCATAACAGGGAAATACACACACACACACACACACACACACACACACACACACACACACACACACACACACACACACACACACACACACACACACACACACACACACACACACACACACACACACACACACACACACACACACACACACACACACACACACAAGTGAAAGAAGTGTTGAAATTGCAGTGGAGTAAAATTACACTATTTCCCTTTTAGATGTAGTGAAGTAAGATAAGAGATAAGATAGGACTTAGTTACAAAAAAATAATAAACACGGCAGCATAATAATAAAACTGTACACTAACAGAGCAGTAAAAACCTCGTTAAGCGAAAAGGTTACTCGCCCAGCTCTTGAACAGCAGCCCAGTTATTCCCTCTCACTCTCTGCCAGGAGTCAAGAGGATCATCAATTACTCAGCTAGAAACTGGGTTAGTTTATTGAGCCCATTTGTTCTTTTGGTATGAAGGTAACACCTGAAACTACGACGGCTTGAAGCCCTTTTCTTGGAAGTGTTCAGATTGCTGAGATGAAATGTCCATATCGTGCTGTCACAGATCAAACACCTCCTGATTTGAGGAAGTGAGAACAGATGGAATGACGAAGGATTTGATATCAAAGAAAAGTATATCATATAGAAATAAGTTTATTGTGGTGATTTTTGATTATCAGGATAATCATAATTATCTGCTTTCAGATGTTTTGCTCTAGATCGTCGTTGTTTTGATTATAAATTCTTTAAAACATGCTCATATTTCAGTTCCTATTTTATGTTTTGTCCAGAGAGAGATTGTTCCTCTGTCATTGTGGAAGGGCTGTATAGAATATATAATGTTCTTGGTTTTCTTTCAATCTTAGCACCCAATATTCTGGCGAGGATAATCATTTTCTTTTCATCCAATGACTTTTGTGTAACAAGTGAATACGTGGATAGTAGGGCTGAACGATTAATCGATTTTGAATCGGAATCGCGATGATCAAATCGCAAAGCCTGCGATTTTTTTAACTTTTGTTCTTCTTGTGTGTCAGTCATCCACACCAATCAGAAGTGCTGTGCTCCACATGTACCAGCCATTGTTAACCAATCAGAAGTGGCCCATGATAGAAGGTGATAGACAGATTGATCCAATCACCTGGCAAGTATTTTTGAAATACTTTTCTAAATGGCTTCCAATGGAGCTTTAGATGCTTTGGTGAACCATCTGAGTCAGGTTAGTAATGCTCCATCACATGTTTCTATTACAGGGTGAGTCTTAAACTGAAGCTTGACTTTAAAGCAACCCAACGGAAGTTTCATGTAAGTTTAGTTCTTTCACTCGTAGCTCGGGCTGCGGGGGCGCTAGAGACGGGAGCACGTTGATACGACCTTCCTAGCCGGAGATATGGCCGCATTTTACAATAAACTTCCGTTGGGTCGCTTAAAAACAAATATCGCAAATCGAATCGCAATATCCGTCAGAAAAATCTCAATTCGATTTTTTCCTAAAATCGTGCAGCCCTAGTGGAATCTAGTGTAGTCTAATGAGCTGTGCCTGCTGTGAGTTGGCAGTTTAAGCTCCTTAATACACTGTTCATGGCTCTGACTGTGGAGAGCAACCCGAGTGTGCTAAGGACTATTTGTAAGAACACTGACTTGTTGATTAAAGTTCCATATTAATAGAAATAGCAGAAGAAATTAAGCGGAGCCCAAAAAACAAAGATGGCAACTGCGTGACTACACACAGACTAAAAGACTCCTACTCAAGCTGTAACTATAATACAAGTACAGATAGCTCCTGGGGATTTACGCCTATTTACATAGTTTGTTTGATTTGCATTGGAACATTATGCCAAATCCATGTGTCATGACTCTGGACAAACAGTGTCTTATCAGCCTCAGGAAACTGTGGCAACTCCAGAGCAAACAATGAAGACAAACATCACTTTGTCTTCACATATTTGACTTTAGCCACACTGAGGTCCATGCTGGGAGCTGTACAGTATCACGGTGAGCCATGCACTTTAAATGTGTGTGTGTGTGTGTGTGTGTGTGTGTGTGTGTGTGTGTGTGTGTGTGTGTGTGTGTGTGGTCTAACATTACTATACTTGTGGGGACCTACATCTGTTTACACAGTCACGTGTGGGGACTCGCCTCCCTCATGGGGACAACATGGATGTCCCCATGAGGGAATCATTAATTTTAGGGTGAAGAGTTGGTTAGGGTAAGGTTAAGGTTAAGGGTTAGGGTAAGGGTTAGGTTAAGGTTAAGGTTAAGGGTAAGGGTTAGGGTTAGGCATGTGTTGGTTATGGTTAAGGTTAGGATAAGTCTCCAGGAAATGCATGTAAGTCAATGTAATGTCCCCTGAAGTGATGTATACATGGTGTGTGTGTGTGTGTGTGTGTAAAGGTCATTTGGCCAGCACTTGAACAGTAGCCCAGTTATTTCCCCCTTGAGTCTCTCTCTATTTGCATGATATCACGTGTTTGTAACCATGTAGAGCTTCTTTGAGGCCACTTAACACAACGTTCTCACTTTGATCTAAATCAGCTTTTCATTTCAGTCATTTTCAACCAATTAAGAGCCGCTGTTGTCTTTTCAGCCGGTAAATAGAGAGCTTGACAGACATAACAACTGCTATGTGTGTGTGTGTGTGTGTGTGTGTGTGTGTGTGAAAAGGTCATTTGTCCAGCACTTGAACAGCAGCCCAGTTCTTTCCCTCTCTGCTATAAATCATGTGCACACAAAAACGTCCCATCAGGCCAGACACCAATTTAAAGTTCAGATTCGACTATTTTTTGAATCACCATAAGGCAGGTTTAGTTTGTTGTGCCCATGTTCATAAGGACTCGTAGCTCAGAGCTGACATTTGAGATCACTAGAAGCTCTTTCTAGGAGTGGGGAGGGGTGTTTGGTTTCACAATCCTGTGTCTCAAGTCAGCTGAGGACACGTTGGTTAATGTTTTTCCTTCTCAAACAATGCATATATAATATTAAAAACTGAAAGAACATGCGGTAAGATATTTATTGGACAGTCGGTCAACTAAAGGTCTGGATTGCTCCACATGTGGAAGTGGTGAACATTCTGCTGTTGTAAAAAAAATGATGATTATCAAGGAGTTTCCGGAGAGTCTTTCCAAGCCAAGAAAGTGTTAGGAATAATTCAGTACTGTGTTTATCTTCTCTAACATTAACCCTTGCTAACCCTTTTCTAGGACAAATGTAAATTAAACATTTTTTCATTAATGTTTATTATTTTTAATCGGTCATATAATAATCAAAGCCTTGAAGGAAATAAAGCCATTTAGCAGCATTGGAACAAGAACCACATCCTAAAGTATTTGGCTGTGAAATATAGAGGGAATGAAACATCCATATAAATGACATAGAACAGATATAAACACAAAGCAAATTAAAACAATTAACAGTCACTATTTATAAAATACAGTATATCCGAAAACTATATTGATGAAGTGACGGAACATCATGTGATCAATGCAGGTCCGTTTAGGAAACACATGATGTAGAACTTCTTCGTGTGTAGAGCACAGATGTACTTGTTGCAGTTGCTGCATGAAGTCTGTGTCTTTGAGTCCTTTGAGGGTCCACAGACCTCACAGCTGGCTGTGGGGGTCTTCTAGAAGCTGACTGTGGGGGTCTTCTTGTGGCTGCCGCTGGCTGTGGGGGTCCTAAAGCAGCTGGCTGTGAGGGTCTTCTTGAAGCTGACTGTGGGGGTCTTCTTGAAGCTGGCTGTGAGGGTCTTCTTGAAGCTGACTGTGGGGGTCTTCTTGAAGCTGACTGTGGGGGTCTTCTTGTGGCTGCCGCTGGCTGTGGGGGTCCTAAAGCAGCTGGCTGTGAGAGTCTTCTTGAAGCTGACTGTGGGGGTCTTCTTGTGGCTGCCGCTGGCTGTGGGGGTCCTAAAGCAGCTGGCTGTGAGGGTCTTCTTGAAGCTGACTGTGGGGGTCTTCTTGAAGCTGACTGTGGGGGTCTTCTTGAAGCTGACTGTGGGGGTCTTCTTGTGGCTGCCGCTGGCTGTGGGGGTCTTCTTGCGGCTGGCTGTGAGGGTCTTCTTGAAGCTGACTGTGGGGGTCTTCTTGAAGCTGACTGTGGGGGTCTTCTTGAAGCTGACTGTGGGGGTCTTCTTGTGGCTGCCGCTGGCTGTGGGGGTCTTCTTGCGGCTGGCTGTGAGGGTCTTCTTGAAGCTGACTGTGGGGGTCTTCTTGAAGCTGACTGTGGGGGTCTTCTTGAAGCTGACTGTGGGGGTCTTCTTGAAGCTGACTGTGGGGGTCTTCTTGCGGCTGACTGTGAGTCAAGTTCATCTTCCAATTTGCTGTCAAATTCTGAGTTGACCTCCACATCATCCTCATCTTCAGAAATGTCTTCCTGTTCCACTTCACCGTGTTCCTCTAATGCATTCCACTCACTCTCATCCTTTATTAGCTCCAAGGCTCTGAGCAGAATATCTTTTGGCCATTTTGTTGGTAGATAATTGTAGTTCTGCACTACACTGTAATGTGAGGTTATGTCTCTGTTTAGTCCCTCCTCCGGCATGCAGGTGCGAGGGGGACAGTGCGAGAAAATGTAAAATGTTTATACATTTCTGGAAGATCTAAAATGTTTATAATGTTCTAGGATAGTTTTGTGTACACACTACAAAGGGTAAAGATCAAGGGAAAACAGGATCGAACAGCTTCTCTGTGCATACGATTGTGTGTGTGTGTGTGTTTCTGTGTGTGTGTGTGTGTGTGTGTGTGTGTGTGTGTGTGTGTGTGTGTCTTTAGTTTGTGTGTTTCTGTGTGTTTTTCTCTGTCTGTCCTGGTATTGTATCCGGGATTGACCCGAACCTCTTATGAGGGACATAAATGCGGGTGGGCATTTTTTCATAAGTGGAAATATCCTTATATATTTTTTTATTCATTGAAAATGGAATTCGGGTCAATTGGACCCGAACACCACACAAGGGTTAACTGCACTTGTTAGCATACGGAGCACATTAACTTATAATAGTAAACAAAAGCAGTACCTCCAAGGCCACATCATTATTTATGTGACCGTGTTATTGTGTAAAAAAAGACACACTTAAGGTGGGGTAGGTCATTCACTTCAGAAACACTATTTGTTATATTCCATGGAATGCTCTTAACATCCCGATAGCAATGAATACATTAAATGCTTTGACAATAACACATCTGTGGAAGCCGTGGCGCTGTAAAAAGCACGACCAATCATTTGAGCCGGCCCGGCTAAAGTAACTGGCTGTCAGCCTTCCATCTGTGCACAAACTTATCTCGTGCCCTCATTGGTCATGTGCGCGTTCGTGTGTGTTGGAGGCGGGGCTCTGTAAGGAGCTGCGTACTTTCAAAGTCTAGCGCACTCGAGTTGCTTTCTCCATTCTTACCTACCCCACCTTTAATGTATAAAGGAATCACCCTAGGAGGAGATTTATGACCCAGAGAGCAAACCTTCCTTCTGGTTTAATTCTCACCTACTGATATGTGTCTGGACGTGCCGAAGAAGGTGTAGAGAAGGACGGGGTAGAAAGAGGAGTACAGACCATACACTGGAGGCACAGCAGCCAGCATGGCGTAAGCTAAACCTGTGGAGAGGAAGGGGGGAGAGGAGAGAGAGGGGGGGGTTCAAATAAACGTTACAGTGCCAGAAGCCATACAGATTGCATCAGAGCTGCAGAGATAACAAAACAGAGACAGTGTGACGCTGAAAACAGAACCGCAGGAGCCGGCAGATGGAGTTTCACACATTAAAACCTCATGTCAGTCCAGATGAAACGAGCCGGGCTAACGTAGCTTGTGGCTAATGCTGAGAAATACTTAACATTTCTAGCTTTATCCGTCTGTTTTTTAAGATAACATACAGGGGTGACACATGAATTAGGGCGTGACGCTACATGGATGCATCAAAGGTTATTCATAAATTACCATCCATGCTAGGAGGAAATATCTATTATGAAATCATGAATGTGTCACCATTTCCCTGTCAGTACACCTCGCCCTTAATGATTCAAACAGTGCTTTAACATGAGTAATGGGGCACTTTATGGTGAACAACAAGTTCCTTTTTAAACGTTTCTTGTAAATAAGGAGTAGATTAAGTAAGGGATAATCTGCAGCGACGCGGTCATTATGGGGAAAAGAACACCGACAGGCTGATCAGGAGCCCGACGCGAAGCGGAGGGATCTAGATCGGCATGAAGGTACATTAAAGGCATGAAGATAAATTCCCATATTTCAAAACAAAGCACTTCATGAATGATTATTTGTGTCTGGAACCTTCGTTTATTTGCATGAAGGCACATTATCCCGCTTATTACACGGCCACATTCTCAACAAAGTAACGTTATGACTCCCAATATTAATTGAAATGCTTTTATGGATTTAGAAAATGATTTTATTGATTTAAAAAATAGTTGTATTGATTTAAATTGACATGCATCCGCTAAGAAAAGTAGTCCGTTGTTACCGTTTGAACTAACGTAGCAACGGCAGGAACGGCTTCGATAGCGTTTTTGAGGAGCTTTTTGATTACAGATTTGAAAACATCGCTCCTTGCTTTAAAAGTAGCACAATTCATGATGTCAAACCTTGGGAAATATCTAGATATCCCTGCCCTAATGCCAAAGGAACTGGCAACTGAATATGTGTCGCCGTTTGATGTCTCTGTCTGGACCGCTGCGTAAAAAGGAGGGTTTCTGCCCCGTTACGGCCCGTCCACACAGCGGCGTGCGTTGAAGCTTTCAACGCTTCTGCCCATTCACTTTGAATGGGGTGACGTCACTTTTAGCCGAACTGCATCGTGGGAAGCGACGTGGGGCGTTGCTGGCGTTGCTCGCTTCAAAAGTTGAGCAATGTTCAACTTTTGACGCCTCAGCAGAAGCGTCAGCCAATCGAATCATATGCCAGTACAAGCTCTAGCCAATCAAACCGCTGCTTGTGTGTCAGGGGCGGGAGATTCATGTGATTGGTTGTTGGTCGAGTGTCAGACACGCCCGCCGGCAAGCGTCAACGCACGCCGCTGTGTGGACGGGCCGTTACTTCTCCGCTGCTTTCTTGTCCCTCTTGTCTTTTTCTTTTCTTCACTGGGGACTCATCAGCCACTAACCATTCCTCCAAATTACTGTGCTCTCCAAATATATTAAAATGAATGTTAAAATCCTCCATGTTGCTATCACACGACAGCGGAAAACTAAAGACAATCAGACAGTTTGCTTGCTTTTCAAACTGTTACGGCCCGTCTACACTACAGGCGTCAAAAAATGCTTTCAACGCTTCGCCCATTCATTTGAATGGGGTGACGTAGGATATTTTCAAACTTCGCCGAACTGCATTGTGGGTAGCATGGCAAGGCGTTGCAAGCATCGCGAGCGTCTATCGGCGTCAAAAGTTGAACAATGTTCAACTTTTGAGGCTCGATGCTTGCTCGAAGCTGGCGTCAGCCAATCAAATCCCGTTTATGCAATTCCCGCCAGTACAAGCGCTAGCCAATCAAACCGCGTGCAAGCTGGGAGAGCCGGACCGCAGTTCATTTCCTCATATTCCAAACGAGAAATTACGGTAGCAAATCACCTGGTTCTTTCCGACTAGAACTATTTACCGGGATACAAACCGGAGGAACCAGGCATGGAGAGAGGTGGCAGAGACAGTGGGTGAAGCAGGCATGGAGGGAGGAGGCAGAGACAGTGGAGGAACCAGGCATGGAGAGAGGTGGCAGAGACAGTGGGTGAAGCAGGCATGGAGGGAGGAGGCAGAGACAGTGGAGGAACCAGGCATGGAGGGAGGTGGCAGAGACAGTGGAGGAACCAGGCATGGAGGGAGGTGGCAGAGACAGTGGGTGAAACTGGTAGGTTTTCGCCTGTTTGGGGATTTTATATCCAGTTTACTTCGTTGTAACATTGCTATTGCTTTGTATGTCGGGGGCGGGAGATTCATGTGATTGGTTGTTGGTCGCGTTGCTCGCAAAAAATCGCCAAGCTTCAGACACGCCCAGCTTCAAGATGTGTTGATGCCTGTAGTGTAGACGGGCCGTTACATTTTAAAAACAGTTAGAGCGTCTCTTGTCTTGTCAGTTTGAAAAGCCAACGGCAACTGCTTGCGTTTTTGAGGAGCTTTTTGATTACAGATTTGAAAACATCGCTGCTTGCTTTAAAAGTAGCACAATTCATGATGTCAAACCTTGGAAAGTATCTAGATATCCCTGCCCTAATGCCAAAGTAACTGCACACTGAATATGTGTTGCCGTTTGATGTCTATGTCTGGACCGCTGCGTAAAAAGGAGGGTTTCTGCCCCGTTACTTCTGCGCTGTTTTTCTTGTCCCAGTTCGAAAAGCAAACTGCATGCAGTTTGCTTTTCGGCCCAACTGTATGCAGTTAAATCGACCGGACTTCTTTCTGAAGATGTGAGCGTCCTTAACAACGGTCAATAAGTCCTTGACAGCGGTCTGTCTGTTCGGTATTAACAACGTGTCACGTGTTCTGAATTGACCAATCAGAATCGAGTATTCAACTAAGCCATGTAATAATGAACATTAACATGTCAAATTGTATAGATATCGTCTCATATAATTTGCAGGCCCTTGAATTTAATAAAAATCAAGTCGAAATCGTATTGGGGTGGACTTTGTGAAATCAGCAAATATCCATTTGTGATGACGCCGCACAGCTGATCGTCTGACAGCAACCAGATCAGTGCATGCGCTGCATCGTCCAATCAGTGAGCGATACACAGTAAGGGGGCGGGGCGAGTGTCTGAGAATTTCACCGGAGGATGGTCTGGTAGTTCCTCGATTATCGCTCCTCCGTTATCACTCCTCGATCCTCCGGCAAAAATAAGGCCACTGGGGGTCCTTCTCACTTCGATTAAATGGATTCCTTGCATCCCTCACTTGCGTCGTTTCCCTGCGTTTAGTCCCTCCCACCAGGGAAGCATGGAGGGACGCAAGGAAACCACGAGAAGCAGGGAAATTAGTTTTAAGAGCAATGGGACCTCCTTTCCTCCGGAGCGTCACGTAAAGCGACGTCCGTTTGTGATGACGCTGCACAGCTGTTCGTCTGACAGCAGCCAGCTCTGTCCCCGTTAGTTCCACACACCCCCCGCCTCTGTTAGTACACATTTACTGACACAAACATTTGTATCATCTGTTGTAGACCCAAATAAATAAAATAAAATAAGAACTAATTCTCAAAAAAGATAAACGCCATTCTTAAAGTTTATAAACGAACAATAGTTTGATTAATATTGATTAGAGTGCACAATAGAAATAAAATAATTGAGAGAAGAAAAAGAGATATGTTATCTATCAAAACCCAGTTAGATTAACATTCATTGGATTGCACACTTTGTTTGTTTGTGTGGATATGTAGCACATTCACATTTTAATAGCACTTAATGACTGACTGAATGGAAATGACAATAAATGAAAATGTAAAACGAAAAAAGCGATCATGAAAATGTTTCCAAAAAATGAATAAAATGATTTTTGACCACTTTGTTGTTCAGATATATCACATATTTGTAACTAAATGAAACATGAATTGAAACAAAACACGGTATAAACTGAGGAGTGACTCCCGTGAGGTTCATGTATTTTCTTCACTCTGCTCTCATGTCAAGAAGCATCAGTTCAGTGCATGCGCTGCATCGTCCAATCAGTGAGCGATACACAGTAAGGGGCGGGGCGAGTGTCTGAGGATTTCATCGGAGGATGGTCTGATGGTTCCTCGGTTATCGCTTCTCCGTTATCACTCCTCGGGCAAAAATAAGGCCATTGGGACGCTACTCAAGATGGCGCAGACAAATCAACTTCCGGTGAGACCGAGACCGAGCGAGGAAATGAAAAATAACCGAAGTGAGACGCACCCAGAGATTGATTTATAAAGTTGACTTTGATTCTGACCACCACAGAACAGCTTTACCGCTTCCTGCCTAATATTTCCCTAAAGGGTCTTCGAGCACCTCATAAAGCGCTTGAAAATCAAATGTATTGTCATTATTATTATCTGCAAAATATCAAATGGTTGTCCAAAGATTTGATGTTAAATTGTATCCTGATAAAACTCGTGATTTACACCCGTACAAATCACGTGCATCAGTAGGGAGACTTTCCTCATAGGGTGTAAAAATCTACTGGAGAGATTTAACGTTTTGAAGTGAGTTCATGTCTCAGAAGGACTTCAGAGAGCACTGACCTTGTGGAATTAAAGGCCCCCTATCAAACTGTTTTTCATCAATATATTACAGGTGTCAGATATATCCAGAGCCTGTCTCTGATTGGCTGAAACACCAAACAGATCATTGCAGCATTACCCATAATCCCCTCTGTTTCAGCCCTGTTTCCAAAGTGCTGATTCTCTGTCTGTTACTTTAGATGAAAATAAGGAGCCCCTCCCCATGCCCCTCTGAGAGACATTTGGTTACAAAGAACTCAATAGTACTTTTCCCGTTTAGTTCCGTTAGTGCCTGGAATTTTAAGTTCACACCAAAAAGAGAACTTAGTTCAGAGAACTTTTACCCCCATTTCAGTCCCTGCTGATTGGCCGGGCGGATTGCAAACCACGCCCCGTAAAACTCGGAAAGGTTTTTTGAAGCCGCCATTGTATTTGCTGGCATTAGCATTATTAGCATTAGCATTAGCCCCACGCAGCAACGGAGAGAGACTAACTAATGGCAACACAAAATAAAACATGGGAGCGGTGGAGATGAGGAGGTGTCGGCATTCTGGCGATTTACTCGGAAGGCTTCAGTAGAAGCTGCTGGGAGTCCCAGCAGCTTCTACTGAAGCCAGTCCCCAACTCCGGGGTCTTCCGGCCGGGGACTCCGGGTGGCAGTATACGCCGTGAAGTTGTTTGCGGCCTGCCAGTAAACCCAAAGCAGAAGAAGAAGTGACGTCAGCGGCTTCATTTGCGTAATCTTCCCTCAGGGACTTATTCTGGTGTGAACGCGATCTGTACTTATTTCCATGTGGTACTAAAGTGCTGGGAACTAAGTGCGTCAAAGTACTTGGTGTGAAAGCGGCTAATGATGCTCTAGGACAGAGGTGGGGAACCTTTTTCCTCTCAAGGGCCATTTCAATTTTTTAAACATCCTCCGAGGGCCGTATAAATCATTGACCTCTGCTTAAAAAAACTAAAATCACAGCCCATTCATTTGGCCTTTCTTTCATGCTGTGCAAAGAAAGAGCAACCTCTTCATCCAGATATCTCACCATGACTCGCGCATGCACGTGCACGGTGTGGCATGACCACCAAAACAGAAAGATATGGACACAAGATGTTTGCAAATGTGTTTAGTTTCCTATGTGGACATGATTTAAGTGGGGGGGACCTAACCTCCTCTAGGGCGGTCCGGGGGGCATGCTCCCCCGGAAAGATTTGTTTTTAAATGTTGAAGTTAAAAGCATCAATCTGAGAGCAACATTAGGAGCTCTATGGAAACATCTCTCAACATCCAGATGAAACAGAACTGGAAGCAGATTTATTTTTCTTTATGGATATTTTACAAATCACTCTCCTTTCAAACTGTATTCTTGTTTATTAATAACAACTTTTTTTTACTGTCATATAGTATTTTATACCTGTTTACTTTATTCTCTTGTTTTTTGATAACTATAATGATCATATAAAGATGTGCCTTTACCTCACTGGTTGTAGAAAAAGCTTCTTATATTCGTTAGCAGCTAGCTAACCAGATGCTAATAACAACACAGTTATTGACTGTATGATCAGAATGACAGATGAGCAGATCGCCACTGGGCTAACAGCTAAAGACACAGCCACGCAAAAACTGCGGCATGTGTACGGCTCCTTATGGGTAGGCCGGGCCCTACTGCAATTGTTGGCCGGAGCGACGTTCTGGTGCTCTCCGTCAGAATTGCACCCCTGTCAGACGAGACATGTACCACGTGATGACACGTTAGGCTCGTGTTGTGTTCAAGGACCCTGACCTTGGCCAGGAAAAACAGGCACTCGCTTGTTTAATTTTTTTGCGGTCTAGATTTCTTTAATTTTTTTCTTTTTTGCGTGTTTATAAATTACCTCGAGGGCCACACCAAATGGTCTCGCGGGCCGTATATGGCCCGGGGGCCGGAGGTTCCCCACCCCTGCTCTAGGAGGAGATTCAGGTGATAAGGTGGGGGGGGTTACCTTGGTTGGTGATTGGCTAATGGCTATACAAGCCAAAAAATCGTTATGACATCACAAAGTGGCCAAAATCTGATCAGCTCATTTTCAGACAGGTTTTTATAGAAATGGATCAAAAAGAGAGAGAATCTTTGTTCCTGAAACTTTCAGTGTCTCTTTCCACAGAGGGGACACATGTTGATGTAGAAGAGACATGAAGAAGAGGGGACACATGTTGATGTAGAAGAGACATGAAGAAGAGGGGACACATGTTGATGTAGAAGAGACATGAACAAGAGGGGACACATGTTGATGTAGAAGAGACATGAACAAGAGGGGACACATGTTGATGTAGAAGAGACATGAAGAAGAGGGGACACATGTTGATGTAGAAGAGACATGAAGAAGAGGGGACACATGTTGATGTAGAAGAGACATGAAGAAGAGGGGACACATGTTGATGTAGAAGAGACATGAACAAGAGGGGACACATGTTGATGTAGAAGAGACATGAACAAGAGGGGACACATGTTGATGTAGAAGAGACATGAACAAGAGGGGACACATGTTGATGTAGAAGAGACATGAAAAGAGGGACACATGTTGATGTAGAAGAGACATGAAGAGAGGACACATGTTGATGTAGAAGAGACATGAAGAAGAGAGGACACATGTTGATGTAGAAGAGACATGAAGAAGAGAGGACACATGTTGATGTAGAAGAGACATGAAGAAGAGGGGACACATGTTGATGTAGAAGAGACATGAAGAAGAGGAGACACATGTTGATGTAGAAGAGACATGAAGAAGAGGGGACACATGTTGATGTAGAAGAGACATGAAGAAGAGGGGACACATGTTGATGTAGAAGAGACATGAAGAAGAGGGGACACATGTTTATGTAGAAGAGACATGAAGAGGAGGGGACACATGTTGATGTATAAAAGACGTGAAAGTGGATTTTGCCTAATTGGTGACCTTTAATGTTGTTTTCTTAGCTCGATTTGATGTTTTGAAGTGAGTGCATGTCTCAGAAGGACCTCAGAGAGCACTGACCTTGAGGGAGTTGCACGACTCCGGTGCTGAGACCTGAAACCACGTCTGAAAACAGGTACTCCTTCACAGGATACGACGGCAGCCAGGTGAGGATCGGCAGGAAGCTGAAAACCGCTGCCTTCGCTCTCTTTGAAGAACACCTGTGGAAGAAGGGAAGGGGATTAACTCTTCGGTCATTTAAGGAAACAATAATGTCGACTGTTCCTGTGACTCGTTTGATTCAAATCATTTACGGGAGAAATGTCGAAGCATATTGTTACCTGATTTACCTCTAAATATGAGGGCAATAATTCTGTTTAACTTTGAATTGTTTGACAATTGAAGTGGTCAAATGCTAACTTACTTCCGGGTTTTAGGACGCGTCACTGTGGCACTCTATGGTGTTTATTTGTCAGATAGTTTACAGACATTTACCTTCACAATCAACTTGACATAATAAATACTTTATAATTGTTTATTCTCTACTGTTTTTGACTTCTATGTGCAATGCCTTGTTTTACATGCTGCTGTAATGACTACATGTCCCAATTTAGGATTAATGAAGCTTATCTTGTCTTATATGACAAACTGCAGGGGGTTGAATTTAGAGGGTTGTGCATAAACGTGTGCAGAGGACTAGGGCTGAACGATTAATCGATTTTAAATCGAAATGATGCAGTTATCAAATCGCAAAGCCTGCGATTTTTTTGTTGTTGTGTTTTTTTTTTTGTTCTTCTTGTGTGTCAGTCATCCACACCAATCAGAAGTGCTGTGCTCCACATGTACCAGCCATTGTTAACCAATCAGAAGTGGCCCATGATAGAAGGTGATAGACAGATTGATCCAATCACCTGCCAAGTATTTTTGAAATACTTTTCCAAATGGAGCTTTCCTAGATGCTTTGGTGAACCATCTGAGTCAGGTTAGTAATGCTCCATCACATGTTTCTATTACAGGGTGAGTCTTAAACTGAAGCTTGACTTTAAAGCAACCCAACGGAAGCTTCATGTAAGTTTAGTTCTTTCACTCGTAGCTCGGGCTGCGGGGGCGCTAGAGACGGGAGCACGTTGATACGACCTTCCTAGCCGGAGATATGGCCGCATTTTACAATAAACTTCCGTTGGGTCGCTTAAAAACAAATATCGCAAATCGAATCGCAATATCTGTCAGAAAAATCTCAATTAGATTATTTCCCCAAATCGTGCAGCCCTACAGAGGAGTCCTTTACAAATGAAGCGCTCTTGTATTATCTTGATTATAAACTGACCTGAAGTGCTTTGCCAGCCTCTGTCGGAGCGTGGTGGAGTTTTCTCTTCGTTTGAGAACGGTTGAACGTATGAAAGCTTCATCGTAAACCGGACGCTCGACCCGGTACATCAGCGTGGATTCTGCTTCCTCCCCAGCTGCAGCTTCTTCCTCCTCCATAGCAGAAGATGTAGTTTGTATTGAATAACAGCGTGTGTGTGTGTATTTCTCTCCCCTCTCGATTATCTCTCACGCTTCATCTCCTTCAGCACCCGGTATATCTTCATTCCTTCAGTCTGCACTTCCTGTTTCTGCAGAGAAAGAAACACAAGCATGGTTCAACATGTTCAAACGCTTAATGTCTCAAGGCCCGGGGGCCAAATCCGGCCCGTGGTGGATTTAATTTCGGCCCGCAGGATAATTTCTAATGACTATTAGATCTGGCCCGCCGGTATATTGCACGCACACCTTCACTCCATCCTGAGGGTCTCCTCAGCTCAGAGCCTGAGCCCAAACATTGATGACCTTGCACCCAAGATGAGATGCCAAGTATCTGAGCTAGCATCACAGAGCAGCACTGAGTTCAATGGATGTTTCCTTCTGCACTTTCTCTCTCACGACAACAGGGCATGTTTGGTTTCTCTTTGAGGGGAATAGTTTTGTTGAAGCTGTTGTTGGCCTGTGGGAAAATGTACTCATAAGAAATGACTCTGGAAAAGCTGCAGATAGATCCATAAGAAATGAATGCAACTGATTATTTAATGTTTAATGTTGTTTTTATAGGCATTCATTTAAGCTTTGTTAGTTCCAGGTTTAATATGTGCAATAAGTTCAATTTAATAAGTTTTGCTATAAACATTGAACCAGTCCGGCCCTCGACTAGTAACGATTTTTTTATTTTGGCCCACTGTGTATTTGAGTTTGACCCCTATAGTTAGAGCTGCTTTCAGATTACTCCCCATGCTCGTCCTCCTGGGTGTCTTTATTTTATGGTATTTTATTGTGTCTGGTTGTATCTTGTATTATTATTCTACACTATGTTGTCTTTTTCATTATTTTCCTGTTGTTCTATTTATCTTTTAGCCCTGTCATGCATGTTGGTTAATCTGTAAAACCCACTGAGACAAACATGTTTTGTGATATTTGGCTAATATAAATAAACTTTGAAAGGCTTCTTTTTTTCTTATATATACTTGCCGCTAATGTTTTATATTTTTAACTCATGTAATGCCTGACAACAAAGCTTCTGTGACAAAATAATTCCCCAATTTGGGATAAATAAAGTATCTATCTGTCTTAAGTCAAAGGCTCCTCCAACAATGCAACATAAATAAGAAATAAAACACATTTTAAAATCAATAAAACAGTGCAAGAATAAACTTGACCAATGTGCAAGTAATGCAGATGAAGTAAACTATACAAGATACAATACAATAGAGCATGTTGAAGGTGACCCAGTAAATGCAGGAGTCTAGAGAGAGGCGAAGTCCCTCCCTTTCCGGGGGAGCTCCATGGGACCTTATTTCGGAAAAATATGCATTGAAGTCAATGGAGAGAGAAAGATTATCTTTCGATCCCGTTCGAATTCTGCCACGAATTACACACATGATGTTTGTCAATTTCAAAGATAATTTTGCTTGTCAAAAAAGAATTTCAGAATGAGGCGGAAAGTATTAAACGAGGTGAAAATCACTCCAAGTCTGGGCATGTTGAGAGCTGTACATACACACAAGGGGAGTTAGTCGGTTCCGTGAGAGCCAGCATGCGGGACCGGGATTCTGGGATTTGTAGCCTTTCTAGTTGCGTATTTTTCCATAGTCTTATATTTCAACAGTTTTAAGACAAACTGTGACTTTTTTGACATGGAAATTATTTTTTAAGATTCGTGGCACAATTCAAACGGGATCGAAAGATAATCTTTCTCTCGCCATTGACTTCAATACATAATTTTCCGAAATAAGGTCCCATGGGTCGGAAGTAGATGGGCGGGACTTCGCCTCTCTATATACATGTAAGGTAAACGAGAACAAAATGTACAATTATATACCGTTTATTGTAGTAACAAATCAATTGTAGGGTGATGCAAACAGCCGGTGTGCAACGTCTAAAGTATTTTCCATATTTGAGATTTTTTTTTATTTTTTAAATGAATGTCTCCTATTGTAGAGTTTACGTCCTGTACGAGCTTACGTAAGCTGTAGAGTTTACGTCCAAAAGGCAACACGGAGCCTTTATTTGGCAAAGGCAAGCATAGCAAATATTTGATTACGGGGATAGCCTGAAGAAATATTAACCTTACTGGCAATCCACTGGTGAGGTTCAAATGCAGACAGAAGGAGCTGGTGTCAATCTTTAACAGAAAGTACATCACTAAAGTGTCTGTGTCTGACTTTAAGGTCAATTAGCATCAATGGGTGATGCCAACAACTCAATAACGCTTTTTGCAATGAATGAATTAAATTACCATAATAGGTGTTTAAATTGATGATAAAAGTTGTTTGTGTGGCAAAAAGTACATTAAATGTGATAGACCTAAAATGCTTAAACTGCTGGCTAAAAATAAACGTAAATACAGTAGGATTGTTATTCACGTCGGTGGTAATGATGTTCGTATACGCCAATCAGAATGCACCAAACTTAATGTGGAGTCGGTGTGTAGTTATGCTAAAACAATGTCGGACACCGTAATCTTCTCTGGTCCCCTCCCCAATCTGATCAATGATGACATGTATAGCCGCATGTCATCATTTCAGCGCTGGTTGTCTTGGTGGTGCCCAGCAAACAATGTGGGCTTCGTAAATAATTGGACAGCCTTCTGGGGAAAACCTGGTCTGATTAAGAGAGACGGCATTCATCCTACTTTGGAAGGTGCAAATCTCATTTCGGCAAACATTTCAGGGCTTTGTGGACTTAATCCATGACAAACTGGAGTTGAGACCAGGAGGCGGAGTCGCAGTCTTACACGCTTCTCTGCGCTCTCTCCTAGGCAGTCATCCATAGGAATCCCGAACCCAATAAAATACCCAATATTAGCGGTGTGTATGTCTGCCCAAGGACAAGTTAAGGTAAAACCTAATAGAGGTGTCATACATAATAACCTAATCAAAGTAAATGTAACAACTACTACAGTGCAACAAAACAGGAATATTAAATGTGGTCTCTTAAACATAAGATCTCTAGCATCTAAAGCAATATTGGTAAATGATTTAATATCAGATTATAATATTGATATATGCTGTCTCACTGAAACTTGGTTGAGACATGAAGAATATGTCAGCATAAATGAGGCCACTCCACCCAGCCATATCAATACTCATATTGCCCGAGGCACGGGCCGAGGAGGTGGAGTTGCAGCAATCTTTGACTCAAGTTTACTTATCAATACTAAACCAAAATTAAATTATACCTCCTTTGAAAGTCTTGTTTTTAGTCTTACGCATCCGACCTGGAAAACTTTGCAGCCAATCTTATTTGTTACAGTGTACCGTGCACCAGGTCCTTATTCAGAATTCTTATCAGAATTCTCTGAGTTTTTATCAACTTTGGTTCTTTAAAACAGATAAAGTAATTATCGTAGGTGACTTTAATATTCATGTTGACGATGATAAAAATAGCCTTACTGTTGCATTTAACTCTATATTAGATTCTGTTGGTTTTTGTCAGAGTGTAAATAAACCAACCCACTGCTATAATCACACTCTCGACCTTGTTCTGACTTATGGTATTGAAATTGAGCAACTATTAGTCGAACCGCATAATCCTGCTTTATCCGACCATTTCTTAGTAACTTTTGAAGTACTGTTACGAGACTACAAAGCATTAGTCAAAAGCTCCTGTAGCAGAAACCTATCTGTTAGTGCTATAGCCAAATTTAAGGAAGAGATTCCACCAATACTTAACTCGATAGCATGTCTGCATGTAAGGGAGGAAACTTATACAAAATGTACACCACCCCAAATTGATCATGTTGTTGATAGTGCTACAGATGCGCTGCGAATAAAATTAGACTCTGTTGCTCCTTTGAAAAAGAAGAAAATAAAACAACATAGATTAGCTCCATGGCATAATGCCCAAACCCGCAAAATAAAGCAAAAGTCGAGACAACTTGAAAGGATATGGCGTTCTACTAAACTTGAAGAATCTCGTTTAATTTGGCATATTACTCTCAATGAATATAAGAAAGCACCGCGTAAAGCGAGAGCAGCTTACTACTCTTCATTAATAGATGAGAATAAGAATAATGCAAGATTTCTTTTCAGCACTGTAGCCAGGCTGACAGAAAGCCACAGCTCGATTGAGCCTTCTATTCCCATAGCACTCAGTAGTAATGATTTTATGTGCTTTTTTAATGATAAAATTGTTACTCTTAGAAACAAAATTAATGACCTCTTGCCTTTGACCAGTATAGTGTTATCAACAGCTCCCGGAAACGTAAGTTCTAATATTACACTAGATAGTAAACTAGAATGCTTTTCAGCCATAAACCTTGAACAATTAAATTCAATGATTCTCTCTTCTAAACCATCAACGTGTATGTTAGACCCAATTCCAACTAAGCTGTTGAAGGAAGTTTTTCCATTAATTAGCACTTATTTATTAAATATTATGAATATGTCTTTATTATCAGGCTATGTTCCACAATCATTCAAAGTAGCAGTGATAAAACCGCTTCTTAAAAAGCACAACCTCGATCCAGAGGTTTTAGCCAATTATAGACCTATTTCCAATCTTCCGTTCCTCTCAAAAATTCTTGAGAAAGCGGTCGCAAACAGCTGTGTGATTACTTAAAAAACAATGATTTATTTGAAGATTTTCAGTCTGGCTTTAGAACACATCATAGCACAGAGACAGCTCTGGTTAAAGTCACAAATGACATTCTAATAGCCTCTGACAAGGGACGTGTCTCTATTCTTGTTTTGCTCGATCTCAGTGCTGCATTTGATACTATCGACCATGATATCCTATTGCAAAGACTAGAGCACTTAGTTGACATACAGGGAACTGCTTTGGACTGGTTTAGGTCCTATCTATCTGAACGCTCTCAGTTTGTACGTGTCAATGATGAATCTTCCACGCAAACCAAAGTTAGCCATGGAGTGCCACAGGGCTCAGTGCTCGGACCTATTTTGTTCACATTATATATGCTTCCGTTAGGCAATATTATAAGGAATCATTCTGTACATTTTCATTGTTATGCGGATGATACTCAACTATATTTATCAATCAAGCCTGATGAAATTAATCATCTAAATAAAATTCAAGACTGCCTTAAGGACTTAAAAACGTGGATGACCTTAAACTTTTTGATGTTAAACACGACCAAAACTGAAGTTATTGTACTTGGCCCGAAGAATCTACGAAACAAATTATCTAAGGATATATTAACCATGGATGGCATTAATTTGGCCTCCAGTGAGACTGTAAGGAATCTTGGTGTTATATTTGATCAGGATTTATCCTTTAACGCCCACATAAAATCAATTTCAAGGACCGCCTACTTCCATCTACGTAACATTGCAAAAATCAGGCATATCTTGCCTCAAAACGATGCAGAGAAACTAGTCCATGCATTTGTTACTTCAAGGCTGGATTATTGTAACTCTTTATTATCAGGGTGTACCAAGAAGTCAGTCAAGTCGCTTCAGCTGATTCAAAATGCTGCAGCTCGTGTACTAACCAGAGTTAGGAAAAGGGACCACATTACTCCTGTTCTGGCTGCCTTACACTGGCTCCCTATAGAACACAGGATAGAATTTAAAATTCTTCTTCTCGCCTACAAAGCCCTTAATGGGCAGGCGCCATCTTACCTTAAAGAACTCATTATACCCTACTGTCCTACTAGGGCATTGCGTTCCAAGAATGCAGGGTTGTTGGTTGTTCCTAGAGTCTCTAAAAGTACAATGGGAGCCAGAGCCTTTTCTTATCAAGCTCCACATTTGTGGAATCAGCTTCCAGTTTGTGTTCGGGCGGCAGACACCCCTATCCGTTTTTAAGAGTGCGCTTAAGACCTTCCTTTTTGATAAAGCTTATAGTTAGGGCTGATTAGATTCAGCCCCTAGTTTTGCTGATATAGGCTTAGTTTGTCGGGGGACATCTTACTTCTTCCTTCTCTCTGTCTATACCTGTGTACTCTCATGTTCCGATTAACCCAGCTTCCCCAAATGTCTTTCTTTTTGGTGTCTGGGGTCATGGATGATCCTGCGCTCCTCTGTCCTGGATCTTGAGTCGTGGCTGTGGTCCTGGATCATAGGTCCTGGATGGATATCCTCGTGGATTCATCTTCCTATTATACACACATGCATTTCCAAACATTTGGACTACCTATGTTGCAAATGTATTATCTTTTCAATTTACACACGGCATCTATTGCACGTCTATCCGTCCTGGGAGAGGGATCCCTCCTCTGTTGCTCTCCCTGAGGTTTCTCCCATTTTTCCCTTTAAACTGTGGGTTTTCTTCGGAAGTTTTTCCTTGTACGATGTGAGGGTCTAAGGACAGAGGGTGTCGTATTGTCATACTGATATTTTGTACAAACTGTAAAGTCCACTGAGACAAATGTAACATTTGTGATATTGGGCTATATAAATAAACATTGATTGATTGATTGATTGATCAGGGCGTGCAATGATTTTGCCTTCTTCACTGACAAAATTCAGAAAATCAGACAAGCAGTCAGTGCCTCTGCATCAGGAACAGCAAATGGGTTGTCCCTATCTCCACTTAACATCAATTCAGACATCATGACACAATTCCATCAGATTAATGATAAAAACCTAGAGGACATTATTCAACTTCTGAAATCCTCCTCCTGCTGCCTTGATATTATTCCAACAGGATTTTTCAAAGATGTTTTTCCTTGCATGGCCTCAGATCTACTTCGTATAGTTAACAAATCTCTTCACTCAGGTATTTTTCCACAGGCCCTGAAAACTAAAATAATAATCTAGATGCTTCAGTAATGAACAATTACAGGCCCATATCAAACCTCCCATTTCTAGGTAAAATCATTGAAAAAGTTGTTTTTCAACAGTTGAGTAATTTCTTGCATTTAAATAACTGTTTCGATGTGTTCCAGTCAGGCTTTCGTCCAAACCACAGCACTGAGACTGCTCTTGTAAAGGTCTTTAATGACATCCACTTAAACACAGACAGTGGCAGAACTTCAGTGTTAGTATTATTAGATCTCAGTGCTGCGTTTGACACTGTTGACCACAACATATTACTAGACCGACTGGAGAACTGGGTGGGACTTTCGGAAACAGTTCTGAATTGGTTTGAATCCTACTTAAAGGACAGAAACACTTTGTTTCTATAGGTAAATACACATCTGAGTTGACAAATATGACATGTGGGGTACCTCAAGGCTCCATCTTGGGGCCTCTTCTCTTTAACGTCTACATGCTACCACTGGCTCAGATAATGAAGAACAACAAAATAAGTTACCATAGCTATGCAGATGACACACACATTTACGTAACAATTTCACCAGGAGACTATGCTCCAATTCAAACACTGAGTAAGTGCATTGAACAAATCAATGACTGGATGTGTCAGAACTTTCTCCAATTAAACAAAGATAAAACTGAGGTAATGGTTTTTGGAGCCAAGGCAGAACGTATAAAAGTTATCGCTGAGCTTCAGTCTGCAATGTTCAAAACAACAGATAGAGCCAGAAATCTAGGTGTAGTCATGGACTCTGACCTGAGTTTCAACAGTCACATTAAAACAGTTACTAAATCAGCCTACTATCACCTAAAGAATATATCTAGGATTAAAAGACTAATGTCACAGCAGGATTTGGAAAACCTTGTCCATGCTTTTATCTTCAGTAGACTGGACTACTGCAATGGTGTCTTCACAGGTCTCACTAAAAGATCTATTAGAAAGCTGCAGCTGATTCAGAACGCTGCTGCTCGAGTCCTCACTAACACTAAGAAAGTGGATCACATCACTCCTGTTCTGAAGTCTTTACACTGGCTTCCTGCGTGTCAAAGAATAGATTTCTAAATACTGCTGCTGGTTTATAAAGCACTGAATGGTTTAGGCCCAAAATACATTTCTGACCTCCTGCTAAATGATGAACCATCCAGATCTCTCAGGTCTTCAGGGACTGGTCAGCTTTCTGTCCCCAGAGTCAGAACTAAACATGGAGAAGCAGCGTTCAGTTATTATGCTCCAAACATCTGGAACAAACTCCCAGAAACCTGCAGGTCCGCTGCAACTCTGACTACTTTCAAATCCAGGCTGAAGACTTTTCTTTTTGTCGCTGCTTTTAATTGAACTATTCATATCTTAGACTGCACTGTAACTTTTATCCATGTACTTTTTCTTTTAATGTTTATTTTATTAGCTTTTCTTTTTAATGACTGATTTTAAATGCCATTTTCTTAATGTCTTTCATTTTTTGTAAAGCACTTTGAATTGCCTTGTGTTGAAAAGTGCTATATAAATAAACTTGCCTTGCCTGCCTTACTCTGCTACTTTCAGAGGCAAATATCATGTGTTTTACTCCACAACATTTATTTTACATTCACACCTTGTGTATAGAAACAAATATGCTGATCTACTTTGTAGAAGTACTCAATCTTGTACTTGAGTAAAAGTAGAAGTACTCAGGTCTTGTACTTGAGTAAAAGTAGAAGTACTCAGATCTTGTGCTTGAGTAAAAGTAGAAGTACTAAGATCTTGTGCTTGAGTAAAAGTAGAAGTACTCAGGTTTTGTACTTGAGTAAAAGTAGAAGTACTCAGATCTTGTACTTGAGTAAAAGTAGAAGTACTCAGATCTTGTACTTGAGTAAAAGTAGAAGTACTCAGATCTTGTACTTGAGTAAAAGTAGAAGTACTCAGATCTTGTGCTTGAGTAAAAGTAGAAGTACTCAGATCTTGTGCTTGAGTAAAAGTAGAAGTACTCAGATCTTGTTCTTGAGTAAAAGTAGAAGTACTCAGATCTTGTGCTTGAGTAAAAGTAGAAGTACTCAGATTTTGTACTTGAGTAAAGGTAGAAGTACTCAGATCTTGTACTTGAGTAAAAGTAGAAGTACCAGTGTAGGAATACTCTGTTACAGTAAAAGTCCTGCTTTCAAAATGTTACTCGAGTTAAAGCACAAACGTTTAGGTAACTAAACATTAAAGTACCAAAAGTACTAATTTTCCAGTATGGCCTCTATCAGAAATATTACATATTTGTATTATAATTATTATTAATGCATTCATGTCAATGTTGCACTTGGTAAAGGTGAGGATTGTTAGTTGATTTATAGTAGCTACTAGTAACTAAATGTGTTAAATGTAGTGGAGTAAAAAGTAAACAATGTGCTTCCAAAATGTAGCAGAGTAAAAGTATAAAGCAGTATAATGTGAACATACTCAAGTGAAGTACAAGTGCCTAATTAAATGTACGTAGTTACATTTCACCACTGATTCAGACACACTTAACAAAGTATATGTTGGTGTTAACTATGATAATTTAATATTGATTTTGTGAATCTCTGACGCACTATTGAGCGTTTCCTTTACCTAACTAACGCGATATAAATACAGGAACACCAGTAACTGAACACATTTGAAATGAGAGGGGGAAAGCAGGGAAGATACAAAAACGACAATTTGTCCTCCTTTTTCCCCACAGCATTAAGCTAACAGGAAGATGCTAGTAAGGACTCACCTCCGTACTCCAGCTCCTTAAGGGATGCTGACTCTGAAGGATAATAAAGGCAAGGTTATAAACGGACCTCTTTGATTGAAGTGCACCGAAGATGTCCTTCGATAACAGTAGCAACCAACCTGTTCAGATACACAGATGGTCTCTACGTCGAGAAGATGAATTACTCTGAGAGAAATTCGTTTCCACCTTCCGGTCTGCACTAAGATAGACGTTGATTCCCGCGCATGCGCTCTCGTCTTCCTCCACTCAGTCTTGTTTTGCTTCTCACGTGAGCTTCAGAGCAACTTCAACTTATTTATGTATTCATACAAATAAAACAGTACGGAAAAGGATGAGGGCCACGTGAGAGTGTTATGGGGATGTGACTCAAAGTAAAAAAAACAAAATGAATTCTGCGGGAAAAAAAGTCAGATATCTTTTTCAGAAATAAAAAAAATACTCACGTTTTTTTCCTGAATTTTGCCTTTTTTCTCAGAATTTTGCCTTTTTTGTGTGTCCTATGTGATCTTCCTGAGATAACTACATAACTAGCCCTGGCGGAGTCTTAATACTTGGTCCTCCAAATTCCTATCAGAGTGAGAGCTCTTCACCGCACGAGGATGAAAGCAGCACCGACAGCGTGATGACGTAGGTGTAGTTGTCACGGGGCTCCCTCCTGTCCGGTGAATGTGGATTTTTCACATGCTCCAAATTAAACAATTTTGCTGAGCCCCCACCCGATGATACTCTGACTAACTGCCCACATTTTGAAAAAAAAACTCTGTAAATACAGTCTATGCAGAAAAACAAAGAGGCCATTTTAAAAATAAGCAAACAGAAGGATCAACAATGTGTGTTTTAAAGGTCACCTATTATGCAAAATCCACTTTTTCCTATCTCTTATACAAAAACATGTGTCCCCTGTGTAAAGAGACTCTTGAACCTGTCTGAAAATGACCTGATCTGATTATGGCCACTTTATGATGTCATGACGATTTTTTTGGCTTGTGTAACCATTAGCCAATCAGCAACCAAGGTAGACCTACTTGTGTATTTCTGTAAATGTGCTTAATGAATATAGAGACGGTATGATAGGCTGCCATTAGGGGGCAACACCAGTCAGACTTGAGGAGAGACTGTTGGGTTTAATCAAAGTGTGTTTCAACTGTGGTAATACGAGATATATACTGTATATATAAGGCAGTACAAGATCACTGTATTCATGTATAATATAAAAAGTAAGTTTTAAAGAGTGACCTGGTTCACCTCTGCATTAAATTCATAGTGTTCATATCTAATAATACTGTTAATTCTGTATATACTTTAGCTCTATCGATCATATTTATACTCATACTTATTACACTGCATCGTGCTGCTCCTCTTGCACGTCCGGTTAGAGGCTAACTGTCATTCCAGAATTGGAGGACATTTCATGTCCCCCATATAAAAAATCTAATAATCCATGCCCAAAATGCTAAAACATGCACTTGTTGTGTTAAACATACTTGTATTGAGACAAAATGTATATAAAGTTGTAGAAAAAGTGGTTTCAAAATATTATTTAAATTATCAAATAGCTCTCGAACATCCCCTAAAATGGCATTTTTCTCTTGTCCCCGCTTCTTGGTGACCAACTTGCATGTCAAATATAACATTTAAAATAGGGATTTTATTTACTATTTTTGGTATTATTCTATTGATATATGTCTCTTGTAATGGTCAAATCAATTTGTTAAATCATAAACATATTTTAGATAACAGTAATTTTGCACAGAAGGTGTGTCCCTCAACATGCGTTCAACCCTGTTACCCAAACCTTTTTTGATTGGCACAGGAAGTGAAAAAACTGTAAATCAGATGACACAGTGGAAAGGACATCAGCAAGCCATGTGCTCGTGCCATGGGTAGACCACAACTAAGTCCTCTTTTATTTTTCATATGTTTACAATCTTTTCAGTCTTAAAAGAGTGTGGCACTCTGACCCACTCAGCCCTGTTACTGATATTATCAGAATAAAGCATATTATTTTCAAAGTTATCTTTCTTGCATTAGATATCCAAGTTTGTCCTTGCCTTGAAAGTAGCATTACATGCTACATCTAGCAATACTTCCTGAGGTTAAAGCTCAAATTAGCATTGATTTTCAACCCTGTTACTATAATTAGAGTAACAGGGTAATTCTTCATTGGAAAATATTAATTTGATGCCTAGCTGGGCAAATCACTTTTTTTGATGGTTTATTATCTGTTTTTCCTAAATACATAAAAATAAATTATAAAATAAAAGGTTCATTTTTCAAAAATGTTGGTGTCTAAATTGTCCTCCAATTCTGGAATGACCCGCATATTGTTTACCCAGTACTTGTACTCTTTAATCTAAATTCAAAAATGATCAATTATAATAATTAAATGTCATGGCAGCTTTTAGATCTTCAGCATACTGAAATCATCGCAGAACCAACATGGCCTGTTTGTGTCTAATTAAGAAAGGTTCAAAGTGCTATACGCAATAATAAGCATCGTAAAAACATAGAGAAGTTTGAGAAAAATAATGATATAAAAAGTTATTGTTAATTGTTATTGCTATTCTACAATCGGCTACCAGCAGCAGCAGCAACAATATTGGCATATTTTCAGCGTTCTCTTATTGTGTTTACCTCTGTTTTACCGCACTAGTTGGCAGGCACACAATGGATATTTTGAAGTATTATGAGTGTCTGGAAAGTCCCAAACAATGTCCGGATAAATTAGGTCTGAACACGTGATGAAGAAGTCACTAAAACCTGATTTATAAATATTTTACAGTGTTGTTTTTGTTCTGCGGGCCAGTATAAAACAGGCTTCTTATCAGGAAGTGTTTTCCCTGCGTCTTTTGGCCCTCAGCCTGATGACCACTTCCTGTTACCTCCTGATGGAAGCTGCTAACACAAAGCAGGTAAACAAATTACAACCACAGCAATGTCCAGAAACAGAAATCTGCATAGAGAGTCTGTAGAAAGAAGAAGATTGTGGAACTTTTAAACTTTTTAATGCTATTTTATTTCTATTTCAGAAATAATTTGGACTGTTTATTTCTTGTGTCTTAATTTCTCTCATTGCCTTGTTTTTTTATGCTGCTGCAACACAAACATTTGGGATCAATAAAGTACTTTACTACTGTCTATCTATCTATCTATCTATCTATCTATCTATCTATCTATCTATCTATCTATCTATCTATCTATCTATCTACTGTATCTATCTATCTATCTATCTATCTATCTATCTATCTATCTATCTATCTATCTATCCATCCAGTGACGTAACAAGGCTGTGATTGGCCCCGGTGCAAATATTGTTTTGGGCCCCCCCCCCCCCATCGCCCGCTGATGCGCTCACACACGCACGGACATACACTCTCTCTTGTCCTTTCTCTTTTGTGCTTTGGTTTGCTGTACATTATAAATGCAAGCTATTACATTTTTTATAATGCTGCCGAACTTGCTGCTGCTAGCTACAGTACAGTACAGGTTGATTAAACGGTTCGCTCGTCACGCAAAGTATCACATGACATGAAAGGGAGCAAGGTCATTGGACAGACGAATTACAAATTAATTTAGGTTGCTAGGTTACTTTGAAGACTGCGTGAACCGGTCAATGCCATTGGGGCCCCATGCATGGGTTGCACCGGCTGCACCGTCGATAGTTACACCACTCTATCTATCTATCTATCTAAGTGTTTTGGTTTCCATTTGTAGCTTGGGAAGTATCGACCAATCACCATTGAGCGGGTTATATTTGAATGCAGGTAAACAGAGTCCAAACAATACAATTTTTGGTCACCCTAGGCCTTGAATTTAGCTTTTTTTTGCTTAAAATGTGTAGTAAACTGGCTACTTCTGTTCGTAAAGACCTCGTTTCTCGACTCCTTCTCCTTTATGACGCCTCAGGTTTCTAAAACAGACTGTAAACAATGAGCCGCTCGTAGAGGAGGAAGCCTTGGCCCGGATATCTGCTGGCCAAAAATATTGACCATTGCCCCCAGAGGCTTATTGTCATCACATCAGTTCAGAGTGCTGCTATTTAAAACTACTCACTGTGTCCAATCTTAAGGCAACGTGTGTCTTTCATATGTTGTAATTTGTCTCCATGTTTCTGCAGCAGTTATATCCCACAAATCGGGCCCGGCGCCACGAGGGGGCAAAAGGGGGCATTGCCCCCTCAGTTGTATTCTTTGCCCCTTCACCTTGAGCATCATTCATCCATCAAAAATTACAATAAAAGTCACAATTATAAAATAACTTTAAATAATTATTTCCCCCAATACAAGTTACTATGTTTAGATCAGATATGTGGGCAGGCAGTCAAGCAACGTGTAAAAAAGCCTCAACCCCAAGTGAGCTTGTAGTCTTATGTTAGCATGTATGCTAGCTGTAAACACAGTCGGATGGGTGACCAAAACGTCCCCGTTTTCTGGGCAGAGTCCCCGTTTTCGGTGGCTGGTACCCGGTTGAGACTCCGGAAAATGTTCCCGTTTTTGAACGTGCGTTAAAAAAATAGAGCAAGGGGAAATCAAATGTTATATGTCAGCAAAAACAGAGTAACAGTGTTGTGCCTGTTTGTAGCGTTAGCGTATTTCTTCTTCTTCTACTACTTCTTCTTCTTCTTCTTCTATTTTCTTTAATGGCGAATCGCTTCCACTTGGAGCATATATCACCACCTACTGTTGATTTATTAAATGTTTATATTAAATCCTCGTCCTCAGACCAGTGTTTTTGAGGAACTTGAAGATCAGCTTGTTTACTTCATTTCTTGATTTACTTTCGTATATTGACTTGAAATCCATGTCCTTGATGTTATGTTGTTCCATTGCAGTTTTCAGAATGAGTCTTTGTCTGTTATAATCCGGGCAGCTAAAAAATACATGATGTAATACAATACGGTTGTACATCTAGTGACGGATTTTGGAACATTGATTCGATTTTTCTCATGGCAGTTAGACTCTAGAGACAAACCAGGGGACTTTATTTTTATTTTTAATCTGTGTCTGTCCATTTGGTGTAGTATTTGATCCAATATTACATTCGGATTATATATTAGTCACTTTCATATATGAAATGTCAGGTTTTAGGCCTTGATTTGAACATTCAATCCTGAAAATAAAAAATCAACCAGATTAATGTTTCTTTAATCCTAACCTGACTAGAGGTAAGTAGATCTGTATAGGAAGACGAGTT